GAAAAATTGTAATAATTACTGTTACTATTACATATTACCCCAGGCCTGACTGTGTCACCATTAAGCAATATATATTATTCAAGAACCTTTAGTATTATGGATCACTGTAAGTGCTTGTCATATTTGTGTATTACTGTTACTATTATTATGCCTTATTACTATAATTACTATATTGTCTATTATTCAATGCCCTTTGTAGCATTTATCTGTCATTAACTTGTTAACATTAAGCTCTTTCTTTATGTCTCTAACCCTTCCTATAGTACATACCCAGGGTTTCCCACTAAGCATGCTAAGTGAGCTAAACAGTATTCTTCATGAGTTGAAAAGCACATGTATGTACATGTACAGACATTCGTACATGTATATGGCATTTGGAGCAACTTTAAAAATTTGTAAAAAACCTAATTCTAATTAGAATCAGCTTAAACTTTCTATTCAAACTAGGAACATCTATATGCATTAGAAAAAATATAAAAGTGATGAATTCTCTTTTAGCCATTTTTTATGAAACTTGGTCGAAGACTGCATGCATATTTGTCCAAATTTTGAGCAAATTAATGAATTCATTAAAAGTCCAATTAGTAACGCGGTAGCGTTACTAAGTAGGATTCACCCCCAAACAAAATGGCTGCCACGACTTTTGCAGCCTTGCTATACCGGGAAAACGAGCTCCTATGCTTACCAGACTTTATAGAGGACCTTATCTTGACTAGAGGACTCCAATGGTACCACTAGCGTGGCTCTAGGCCCTGTCTAAGAGGAAATTCAAAAATCGGCGAACCGGCCTTTTTGTTCAGCCACCTTTTTTCATCTTCATCATCATCATCATCATCATCATCAGGAAAGTCCTGTCAATCTAGTTGTCGGTCAATATATCGAACTTGCCTAGTGATAGAAGGCTAATTCCTACACCATTCTACTTCAACAGGGCATGCGCAGGTCCTTGTCTCCTAGAATCATTCTTCAAATAAGGAAGAAGTGATGCTGTGACTGTTGGATTGTCGTGCCAACTTCATGTCGCCATTTTGCTAATCAAAGCCATGTGCTTCAAAAGTTGGGCGTGGTCGCGCATGCTCAGATTATTTGCTCTAATTATTCGTAAATGTAAAATTGAAAAATTAAATGGCTACAGAATTGGACTCGGAATTGGAACAGGTAGGCTTACATTACATTAGTTATTGGTTGCATGTTTTATTTGTACAGGTAATGCTTCTTCATTAATGTTTTTAGAAGGACACTTCTTACTTGTCTAAGTCTTGCAGTGGCAATTATTGAGTTTGCAGTTTTAATTCATTGTTGATGAATATTGGCAATCATGAGTCACCTTATTAAATGTTTATTTTCTGTTTTATAATAATTATTATTTGTAATTACTCTATTATCAAGAGTATATAGTGCTCTTGCTATTATAATAATAATGAATTTGGAAAATAACTTCATTGGGCGTGGCTATATGGGCGCGGTTTGCGCATGCTCAGCTGTGGTACTCCTCGTGCACTGAAGTGACAGTAAAGAAGAGTCCTACTCTCAAGAGCTGTTGTCTGCTTATCTACCTGTCTTTATCAAAGTGCTGGTTCATTTAGAAGACTCAGAGATAAGCTTTGATACTACTTATAATATTAATTACTGTAGTAATTATTATTTACTGAAAATAAGCCTTTAACACCTGGTTGATTTTCTCAGAATATACATATATATATATATTGTATAGTATTATAGCTATATAACCAATGCCTAAGGTAAAAGGAAAAATATCTGCTAAGAAACTTAGAAAACTATTGAAAGAGAAACGGGCAAAAGCTAAATGTAATGATGGCTTTGTTAATGAAAAGCATGATATCACTGCTGAGCTTGTTTTAGTTTCCAATACTGTAGAATGCAGTGGTGGCATCCTTAATGAAGGGTTGTGTGATGTTGCTACAGAGCAGGAAGTTATTTCTGGCTCTGTTTGTGATCATAACCCTGAGTTATGTGATGTTACAGAGTATGTAGTGGCTTCTACTGCTGATGACTCAGACCCCTTTGTTCTTTCTGATCCTCCAGAATGTAATGATTGGTCTGCGTGGGATCACAACCCACCAGAGTTGTGTGACAACACACAGTTTGAAGTAGCTACTACTCCTGAAGATGATACAACTGTCAGAGATAGACAGTTAAAGGAAAAAAAGGAGAGGTCGAGACAAAGCTATTATGAAAATCATCAAAAAAACCTTGAAAAATCAAGAAAGTACCGGGCCAAAAATAAACAAAAAATATTAGATTATGCAAAAGAATATTCAAAGCAATACCGTGCCTCAAATAAGCAAAAAGTTTCAGATTATTCTAAAAAATGTTATGCCTCTCACCATGAAGAGAGATTAGAAGGATTCAAAGATAGTTATATTGCTAATCGTGAAGAGAGATTAGAAGGATTCAAAGATAGTTATATTGCTAATCGTGAAGAGAGATTAGAGGTATTTAAAGATTATTATATTGCTAATCGTGAAGAGAGATTAGAAGGTTTTAAAGACAATTATGCTTCTAATTTAGAAAAAAGAAAAAAGGCAATGAATGAATATTATACCTCTTACAGTCAGCAAATAAAAGACAATGCCAGAGAGCATTATGCTGCTGTGGCAGACACAAAAAATGCCAAGCTAAGACAAAAATATAAAATAAAGCGTAACTTAAATCCACCAAAAAGAAGTGTATCAGCTAAGAAGAGATCAAAAATTATAGCAAGAATATTGCAAAAGAGGCAAATGAATAGAGAATATTATAAGAAAAATTTTCAAAAATTAAGACAAAAGAGAAGAGCTCGATACAATCTAGCTGAACCAAAAATTGATCTCAAAAACAGATACATAGCAATAATTAGACAAAAACTTGCTAAAAATAAAGGGGTACAAAAGCAATTGAAAGTTGCTTTTAATATTGACAAGTCTTTGCCGATTGCTGTCATGCAGTCAGGTATTAATTTAATTGCAGCTAGGAGACTTGTTACTGTAATATTAAATATACGTCGACATTTTGCTGGAATGCTACTTGGGGTTATCAAAACAGTTAATAATAATACATACATTGGCAATGGGGAATTTGGTGATTCATATCACGTGGCCAGTTGTGAGCCACACTTACCAAGCATGCTATAAACATGCCCCATCAACTGTAAATGATGATACTATAATTTTAGACGATATTGATTTAGCAAAACTTATGACGGTG